TACTAAACTCGTGTGTGCCCAGGGATCAATCACACACACAAGCTGACAAATCATAAAAAGTATCATCACGGTGTCTCATACATCATGAATTATAACATTAAATAGTCTTACATAACACAACGGAAAAGAAAAGGATAACTATCTCGTGAAACTCCATCACAGGGAAGGTCAACTGGTTGACCACAAGCCTAATAATCCTCAGGAAACTCCTCATACACGTTGTCATCTGTTACCCATCCGAGATTTTTATCAAAATAAAGAAAATAAACAAGTGTAAGTACATCCCGTACTTAACAAGCTAACATGGGGTTATGAAGCTCAAAAGGTTGACACTGGTTTACTGCAGTTAGCATTTTTAGTAAGTCAAACTTTTATTCTCAGGTAATATCCAATTATGCTTAAGCTCCCATTTAACCCCATATGAACAGATATCAAGGTCAAGTGTCTCATATAACATCATAGAACAACTTAAATAATCATCAACAAGTATCCAGTTATTATGTGAGTTTTCCGGGCCGCTCGTGACCGTGAGCATGGCTGTTATAACAGTTTGTTACCCTCTGCAGAGGTGGTGCACATTCACCGCGAGTCGTGATCCCCATATGCCCGGGTTAATTACTCCCATGTCACTACCAAGGTGAGCGGGCAGGATACACTATGAAGCCATTTCATAGGTTTCTCTAACAAGTTAGGGCCACTAGGTTTCCTTGGCAGGCAGATGTAGGAACCCCCCTTTCCTATGGCACATATCCATCGCGGCTATACTCATAGGAACAGAGGCAGCCCTATACCCAACGTGGCAAGCCCCATTTGCGCCAAAAAGGTAACCTCTAACTAGCTAGAAAAGATCCTATTACTGAGCTAAAGTCAGAGCCATATGACTCTCCCGGTTGCACTGTCAGTCCCAGCTTTTGTCGACAGATAAGTCCTTATGGAGGGCTGGGAGCAACATGATCAAAGGTCATTTGCACCATCGCCCTATGGAACAGTTGTTATAAATCATGTTAAACTCTTAGTTCCATAGAATCATTCATCATCATGTATATCAAGTTCAGTTAGAGCACTAGCAATCTACCCATATGCATTTAACCCATAGAAGACAAGGAACAGGATAATCAATCACTAGGATGTCCTTACGGGTATCAAAATTAGACACATGCAAATGAGTAATTGTTTAAAGTGAAATAGGACATCAAGGTAGGCCCATGCTATACTTGCCTTGGTTCACAAACTCATGCTGGTCCTACTAGTCATCGAAGAGTTCTTGGTCTCCAACGTTTTCCTCACCGTCTGAACGCGACCAACACAGCAACATACAACATTCCAAAAGCATTCATGCAAAGCAAACATTCCTATCATTAGAACAGTACACCAACAGTATTGAAAACAAGATAAAATGTTTGTAAACATAATCTACGTCTCGCTACGACCACGTCAATGCGAAGTTCACGAAAAACGGAGCTAAAATGCGAAAGTTATGATTTAAACGGGTTTTTCTGTAGCCATATATTTAATTAAATCTAATCATGAAATTAAAAAGTTCCAAACTTGACTAACAGTAGTTCCAACATGTAGCTTATGAAATTACGAAGCTAACGCGATTTGAATGGATCAATTTGGAGCTAAAACGACAATTTTATAAGCGAAACAGTTCAAATGGCATTTCTGTAAATACTGAAAACGTATTTTTGACTTAAACCGTGAAGTTTACGCTTTCCAAATGAGATTGCGCATTCGGGGAACTACGCCTTGGACTGCGGGTTAGGACTTAGAAAAGTCCAGGGTCTCTTATGCAAATCAGCCACACGAAGGGGTATCGGATGATCTCGGCCGTCGGATCATGGATGGAGGGCTCGGATTAGACCCTGGGGGAGAGAAGGATTCCGGTCGGGCACAGAGACGCCGGCGGTGAGGCGCCATTGCCGGTGGCGTGGAGGTCTCGGTCGCACGCGGTTAGGGGGCTAGGGTTCACCAAATGCGAAACCGAGAGCACCGGTGAAGGCGGGGGAAGAAGGGGGTCTCGGCCATGCCGACATCACGGTGGTCGGGAACAATGGGTAGTGGTGGTGGTGATGGTCGCCATGGCGTGCCAAGGCTCATGAGCTTCGCGCCGAGGCTCGAGAAGCCAAGAAAAGAGAAAGTAGGGGTACCGGGAGATAGAGGGAGGCCAGGGGGTTCTCACCGCGGGGAGGAAGGAGGACGGGGAAGCTCGGCGGCGGCGGTCCATGCGAAGGAGAAGACGGATCCCGGCGACCACGGAGCGGCAGTTGCGAGGTTACCTCGGTGCTTGACGAGCGCGAAGACGAGAGCAGGGAGCAGCAGGGTGCGCGGGGGAAGGCTCGGCTGCTATTTAACAGGGCCGAGGAGCGGGGGGAAACGCTCCCACGACGCCACTGATCGTGGGTGGCAGTTCTTCTTCTGGCCGGGCGTGGGTGATCCGAGCAGCTGGGAAGGGATGGCGCCGACAAGCGGGCCGAGCGGTCAGCGTCATGGGAAGGGGGGCGGCGATTGGCCGATGCGTTGTTGTTGGCAATTTGGGCAATGATCTTTTTGGCCTTGCTTAATGTATAGAAATTAGGGTGGTATTTGAGGTCATGAGGGAAAAAGCTAAAGTCAATGTGGTGAGGAGAGAAAGCCTGCGGGCCGAAATTCAAGAAGGGAGGGAGAAAATGATTCTTTTCTTTTTCTTTTTCTACACTTTTCCAAATCCATTTTTAAATTCAAATTTCAATTCTTTTTGAAATCTTTAATAAATTCCAAACATTCACCAAATGATATGCAGCAGCATGTATGCATCACTTGTAGCTAATATTATATTTGATTTTAGTTTTATAAAATTATTATTTTCCTACATTTGTATTCACACATAATTACGTAAATAAATCAATTTAGCTATTTAAAAGAGTGCAAATTTTAGGATGCTACAATACTAAAATCATAACATATAGTAAGCGACTTAGAACTTCTATAGTGTAGTGTGTCGCTACAGATAGTACATAGTAAAAAGAATATTTTATTATTCTAGCTTCACGCAACCCTCGGTTTTATAATTCAGCTATAGAGGCTTTCAAAAAAGAGTACCAACACAAAACATAATTTATTGAGGCCAAACATAGCTTAAAACAATAACATTATAACTCACTATAATAGTAAACGGTGCGTAGCTCAACTGGACAGATTCTGTGTTACAATATGTCTATCCGAGAATTATTCGATTTGATGTGGATGCTTGCATTTTTTTTCTGAATTTATCCTAGAATTTAACAATGCTATTTTTAGTTGTAGGTGACATGCCCTTTGACAGCCAGACATGTAGTGACTTCATCAACTTTAAAATATGTTGGTCTAGTATTTCAGAGCTGCCTATTGAGATAATAAGTATGCATACTCTAATAGACATAAGTGTGCATGGATATATGTAAGCGTTTATATTGTGTTTCATAAAAAAATCTGATTAATAAACATCCGCGCATACTTGGCAAGATCTTCAAGGCTGTCATGTTAATAATAAGACATGCCCATTTCATGGTTGTCATCTTCATGTACTTTCTCCGTTCTAAAGCGTAAGTCATTCTAACTTTTCTAGATATAATAGATACATAGCTTTTGGTACACATCTAGATATACATTATGTCTATATATAATAAAAACTATACATCTAGAAAAGTCAAAACGACTTAAAAATGGGTCTTCTTGTTGCGTCTATAACATGCATGTAGCCAATTCCAAGATAAATGTGCCATATGCAGGGACGGGTGTAAGCCATCAGGGGGCTCGAGCCCTACCGTTCGGCAACCCATGGAGTCACTCCCCCTCTAAATTTTTGCGATGTGCTTGCCACTGGCAACTTGTGTAGAAGGATGATGTAAACCAAAGCCTATCAGTATCAATTCTCCAAACAAACATTACATGGTGGTATCAATCAAATAACAAAGTAGTCTTCTCGTCTCATAAAAAGTGTCATTCTTATTTTTTGAGAGTCAAATATTTTTAACTTTAACTAAGTATATATAAAAAAAATATTTATGACGCATAATGAATATCATTAGATTAATCATTGAATATATTTTTATAATAAAATTATTTAGAGATACAAATATTGCTAATATTTTTTTATAAATCTAGTTAAATTTAAAAAAGTTTGACTTGCATAGAACCCTAAGCGTTATTTTTTTGGGGGATGGAGTAGTTACTGTGTTGCTAAAAACAACGACGACTAATGCACTGGGAGTTGTGTTTCATCAAGTTCTTTTTTGTTAAAATCACATCCTTACATTGAAACCATAGGAAAATGTTAATCATAAAGGTACCTTACATTTCCACAGAATATTTCTTCTAGTTCGGACATGTTGGTGAAGTACTCAAATCCCTCCGCTGGAAAATAAATCAATTTATAAAATTACCCTAAATCAAACTATTTTAAGTTTGACCATTTTTATAGGAAAAGGCAATAACATTTATGGCACAAAATAAATACATAAAATATATTTCAGGATATATCTAGTGATACTAATTTATTGTCATATAAATATTGGTGCTCTTTTCTACAAATTTTATCAAACTTAAAACACTTTGACTTAGAATCACTCTAGAAACTTATTTAATTTGAGATGGAGGGAGTATTTGTTTGGTCATCATCTAAGGAATCACCCTGGTCATTCACTTGCACAAAATTAAATCTACTTTTTTTGGTTTTTAATAAAGAATAATGCTATTTTAATTATAGCTACCAAAACATTCCTTTGGTCAACAAATCTCCTGCTACTGCTTACTTAAAACACATACCATGGAACACTATTCATAAATCATAACTTCTTCAACTGTCACATGTGATTTCTCAGGGTATAAAATAAGGGTGAGCATTAATGTTCTTTTAGGGTTGCATATCCAATCCACACACCATCCTAGCTAGAGCCAATTTGAGATCCATTATTTTACGTACGCACAGAGAGATGAACGAATGCAAAAGGAAATGTGATGATATATCTTTATATACTCAGGCGGTGTGACGCAAATGGACTCGTTCCTGAAGAAGTTCTTCCCTGAAGTGCTTCGGGGGATGAGGAGCGCAAAGCGTGACGCCTATTGCAAATACGACAACCAGCTGCTGACGGCATTCACGTCGTCGATGTACATTGCCGGCATGCTGGCGTCGTTGGTGGCGAGCAGCGTGACGAGGAGGGTGGGCCGCAAGGCCGTCATGCTTAAAGGCGGCGTCATGTTCCTCGCCGGCTCCCTCATCAACGCCGGGGCCGTCAATACTTCAATGCTCATCATTGGCCGGATCCTACTCGGCTTCGGTGTTGGGTTCACCGCGCAGGTCTGATACTGCTAGTTCCTTCACATCACAAAAAGAAAAAATGAAAATGAAAAAAAAGAAAAGGTAAAAACAAAATCCTTGCTGCAAACATGAGTACGAGTTCTGCCATGCATCATTCAGGCGGCTCCGCTGTATCTCGCCGAGACATCACCCACGAAATGGCGCGGCGGCTTCACCACGGCCTACCATTTCTTCCTCGTCGCCGGCACGCTTGTCGCCAACGTCGCCAACTACTTCACCAACCGGATTCCCGGCTGGGGCTGGCGCGTCTCCCTCGGCCTCGCGGCCGTGCCAGCCACCGTCATCGTCACGGGCGCCCTCTTCGTCTCAGACACGCCCAGCAGCCTCGTGCTGCGCGGCGAACCAGACAGTGCCCGCGCGTCGCTCCAGCGCATCCGCGGCGCGGACGCCGACGTGGAGGCCGAGTTCAAGGACATCGTCCGCGCCGTGGAGGAGGCGCGCCGGAACGAGGAGGGCGCGTTCACGAGGCTGCTGCGCGGTAAGGGGTACCGGCACTACCTGGTGATGATGGTGGCCATCCCCGCCTTCTTCGACCTCACCGGCATGGTCGTCATCTCCGTCTTCTCGCCGGTGCTGTTCCGGACTGTCGGGTTCGACAGCCAGAAGGCCATCTTCGGCGCCGTCATAATCAGCCTCGTCAGCCTCTGCGGCGTGGTGCTGTCCACTCTTGCCGTCGACCGCTGCGGCCGGAGGTTCCTGTTCCTCGCCGGCGGCACCGCCATGTTGCTTTTCCAGGTATGTGAGTTGTTCATGCCAGTATGCCACTCCTCGTCGTCATGTGCTTGCGTTCTCTAACATGGACCGTGCTGCCATGGGATGATCGACCAAGGTGGCCGTGTCATGGGTACTGGCGGACCACCTCGGGAAGCACCAGGCGGTGACGATGCCCAAGAACTACGCGGTGGCCGTCGTGGTGCTCGTGTGCCTGTACACATTCAGCTTCAGCGTGTCGTGGGGGCCGCTGAAATGGGTGGTGCCGAGCGAGATCTACCCCGTGGAGATCAGGTCCGCGGGGCAGGCCATCACCCTGTCAGTCGCGCTTACCCTCTCCTTCACGCAGACGCAGGTGTTCATCTCCATGCTCTGCGCCATGAAGTACGCCATATTTCTCTTCTACTCCGGATGGGTGCTGGCCATGACGGTTTTCATCGCGGCGTTCTTGCCGGAGACGAAAGGCGTGCCGCTGGAGACCATGCGGTCGGTGTGGGCAAGGCATTGGTTCTGGAGGAAGTTCGTCGTCTAGCTAGCTTGGACGCCTGGCAGAAGGTTCAGCTGAACCGTACTTGCTCCGTATAGAAAAAAAAACGCAATTCACGTCTAGGAATTGCGTTTTTCTTTTCCGGACGAAGGGAGTATGTAAGCAGAATCGATCATATCACCAGGCAGTGAAGAAGTCGAATTACTGATATCATGGTATGCAATATGTCTTGCTTGTGAGCTGTGACAGACTATGTACAATGTACTTGTTGTCTGGGAGCTAGGTCTTGTTTAGATAGCGGTTAGGAATCAGTATTTGACACTGGAGCACTTTCGTTTGTATTTGATAATTATTGTCCAATCATGGCCTAACTAGGCTCAAAAGATCCGTCTCGTAATTTACAATCAAACTGTGTAATTAGTTATTTTTTTTATCTATATTTAATACTCCATGTATGTGTTCAAAGATTTGATGTGATGGAGAGAGAGTGAAAAAACTTAGAATCTAAACAAGGCCCTAGTAAAAGATAAATGGAGTTTGTGTGCCTGCATAAATCGACGGGGTGAATCAGTGTGGGTTTCATCGGATCTGAACGATCGAGAAAGGCGATCGGGGACTCGTGCGAGCGGTTAGCGAGGGCAAGATAAGCTTGGTGGGCTTTTTATTTTTTATTTTTATTTTGATGATGTGGGACCCATCTTGTGGCTACTATACACCATGTTTGCTTGATCGTATCAGCCATACTTATCAGTCATGATACAATATTTTTCTCTCACAACAAAACAACATCAGCTGACTTATAAGCCACCGAAACGATCAAGCGAACAAGGTGATAGACCTTAAACATAAGAGAGCTTTTGTCTTATGAAGTGTGGGACCCACCTTAAGGCATTTGGACTCATGCCCTAAGTACTCTCTAGTCATGGATAAGTGATAGGGAGATAGTAGCGTCCGGAACATTTAGACAGAATGTGACATCCGTGTTTTTGCATCATATTAAAAATCCACTAAAAATTTGAATTTTTTAAATTTTACAACAAATTAAAACTCTGACTAGTTAGTTTCCGCAGAACCGTTTTGAAAGTATATTTTTAAAACCCTACATCAAAATTCACTATATGCATTTTGTGTGTTGCGTAGGATTTAGTTGTAGCGCTAGGAATGACTTGTAGGAATAGAAGACCGTCTCGTATTTTAATTCCTTTGCCTGCACCTCGCCTGTTGAATGCTTGCGTGAATGCCTGTTGAAATGCTTGAATGATTGCTTGATTGCATGTGTGTTTGAATGTTTGCTTTTCTAGAAATTATATGCAGCACCAAAATAACTTCACTTAATTATTAATTGCATTTCTAAATATAGAGATAGATAATGCATCATAGATATAAATAGTATTTCACTAGGAATTGTTGTAATACTCGGTTTTAAGAATAAAACCAGATACACACCATATGTGAGCCTAGGAAGTCAAATATCACATATAGCTATAAATAAGGGTAATATCAATAGACAATGCTCAATAAATAACATTAGCATAAAGAATATAACCTTAGATAGCAAACAGTGTAAAGACAACTCTAATCTTTGGGTGAAGACTCCAGTTTCCACAGGAACAACTGACTGGTTGATTGATCACAAGACTAAATCCACCAAACTCTAGCAATCTGGTACCTATCCGGAATTTTTATCCAAATATTTGAAAAATAAAGTATGCATAAGTACATATCGTACTCAATAAACATAACATGTGGTTCATGAGTCTCAAAAGGCTGACACTGACATATGATCAGGTAAACCTGAATAATGAATATCATAAACAATAATCATTAGTGAGCATGTTCATAATCAGTATCATCAGTGTTCATCATCTATTCCGTAAGGGTTCTAAGGCCGCTTGTGACCGTGAGCAGGCTGATATACCAGTTTTACACTAGGCAGATGTTGTACACTTTCACTGTCAATCATGATTTACCATTTCGTCCGAGGTGATCAGCCTTTTGACCCACTACCAAGGAAGGTCGGCAGGGTTCACTATGAAGTCTTTTAAAGTTCGTCTAACAAGTTAGAGCCATTAGATTCACTCGGCAAACAGATGTAGAGCCCCCCTTTCCGATGGCACAATGATGCGCAGCCTATACACAAGGGAACAGAGGCCACACTATACCCGATTCGGCAAACCATTCTTACACCAATAAAGGTAACCACTAACAAGCTAGAAAATATCCTCATACTGAACTAAAGCCAGAGCTATGTAGCCCTCACAGTTGTACTGTAAGTCCTAAATAATCACTTACAGATAAGTTCTTAGGAAGAGGAATCTATAGCATCATAAAATAGCCCAATGCTCTAGTCCCCTTGTTACATATTGCTAAAAATCATCTTTTAGTGTTTATTGCATATACCATTAGTCAAGTTACAAGATCATGGCTTTAGTTGAGCACTAGCATCATACTAACCAATGCAATACCCCATAGGTATCATGTTACAGGGTAACAAAGTATTAGAAAATCCTTAGTGGTGGTCAATGTAGACACATGCAATATGAATTAAATGATTAAAGGTGTATAGGACAATAATGAAGATCCCATGCTATACTTGTCTTGAACTCAGATCCTTCTTTTATTAAATTATAACCTCCAAAGGACTTCTTCTGGATCATCAACTTATTTTATATCACCAACACAAAGCTCACCGACTGGACATGATCATAAAGCACCACACAAGCATTCATGCAATCATACACGAAGCAAATAATAGAACTAAATCAGAACAGTAAACCAAACATAATAATAAACAAGTAAAAAGGTTTTAAAAATGTTCAACATGTTGCTACAAACATACAGACGCAAAAAGCACACTAATCGGAGCTATAACAAAAAATTTATGAATTAAACAAAATTTCCTTTAATAAAATAATAGATTAAATCTAACCTTGAATTTCAAAAGTTGAAAACATGTTTAATAGTAAGATAAACATGTAGATTAAGCAATTACAAATCTAACGCAACTTGAACGGACCAAATCGGAGTTAAAACGGAGAAGTTATGACCTAAACAAGGTAGTGGCAAAACTGTGATTTCTGGAACTTATTTTTGAATTAAAACAAATTGAAATACGTTTTTTAAAATAGACCAGGGATGGCGGGCATGATAAAGAAGAAGTACAGGGGTTCTTTATAAAAAGTGTAGGGATGGCGGGTTGTATTACACAAAACAGCAGGGGCTCATTTGAAAGATTGCTGGCCGAAGGGGTATTAGCCAATCTGAGCCGTTGAATCAAAGATGGACGGCTCAGATTAGATGGGAAGGGGAGAGAGTCATCGGCGGCGAACTGGGAGGGCGGCGCATGGACGGAATAAGCAGGGGACCTCGCCGACGTTCGTCGTTCCGGACATCATCGGTCAAAAAGAAAGCACGGGGAGCAAGATGAAGACACGGCGAACTCACCTAGGGTGTTCTCACGATCGACTGCGGGTCTATGGCGTCGGGTAGCATGGCGGGGCGGACAACGAGCTTCGGTAAAGATTCGGCGACGTGGCGCGAGCGAGCTAAAGCGAGAAAAAGAGAGATAAGGGGCTCTGTGGCTTCGCAAGCTTGACGCGAAGCTCGGCGAAAAGCTTACGGCGGCAGCGATGCGGCGAAACAGCGAATCACATGGCAGCGGTGACTTTAGGGCTGCGATAGCATAGCGAGCTCGGGTGGAGGCAGCGGCTCGCGATAGGGCTGGATGGGGGCGGCGTGGCACCATGGCTGGCTATATAAGAGGTGGAGCGGCGTGGGGTGC